ATTGTGGTGCAAATTGATGCCGTTTTGTTGGCTTCCCAGATGTCCTGCCAATCAATGCCCTTTAGCATTTCACCTAGGTCAGCCTCCCATTGTTGAGTATAGGTTAATCTAACCCACTCTGTGGAGGTGGTGCTAAGGTGGGTGTGGGATCTTATAAGGCCTCTGTGAAATTAATCTCTGAAGCACATTTGTTTAAAGAAAGTCATTCTTTGGCATGCGACAACTCGGATATTTGTTTGGCTTACAAAGTCTTTTATTTAGAGGTATCTAAAAAAGATCTCCAGGTTTGAAAGATATTCTACTAGCTAACTCATCAAATGTGATTCTATTGTCTCTTTCAAACATATGGTAGCATGGGTCTTTGATCCTAGTGTGTGACTGGTTAGGTTATTGCTGTGCCTAGCCACAGCCAGTAACACAGTGCCCCTTACTTACACAAACTTTGATTTGGAAATAGATATATCCTGTTTATTAATAGTTTAATTGATATTAGTGTGGTTACAGGATACTAGTTAGTGCTTTTTCTAGCCACCGACACTTACACCAAGTTGGTTTTACTGATTTCAAGTTTGACAACTATTTTCTGTTAACTGTTGTAGAAAGAAAATCCTTTTTTGGGGGGAGGGTTTGTGTTTAGTACAGTGTGTGTTGTGCAAGTGTGTGATCAATGTCATATATTATTCCCAGGATGAAATTGATAGGGGGGGTTCCCCAATACATTATCGGCAGTAGTGCCAGTGCCTATCAGATTCTTAACACTTCCACCACTGCTGCCACTACCACTGCTGCCACCAACACTATCATTAGTATTTAGTCTCAGGATAGTGGGATAAGTATGTCCTTTAGGTCTGATGTACCACCCAGGAGGCGATTTTTTTTTTTGAATCTGTCTTTTTTGGCCACATTTGGTGGGTCAAAGAATCTGCTGTGAAGAAGACCACCAGTCACACAATGAGTTATGTTGCTGTTTCTACTGGCATTGCTTAAATCACCGCTAGTTTACATGTTATACCTTCTTGTAGCCCCACAAGAAGCATCTAATTTGGAGCTCAATGGAGCATACTTTGTGGTGCCGTCAGAGCCACTCTTTTTTTAAACTAGTAGAGCAGAGTACAAAAGTAGTGTCCCCAATATCTGGTGTTGGTAGGGGTGGCAGTAACGAATCTGATGATGATAAATCCTGCACCACTGCAGACATAGCACTTTTAAATCTGGTCCAGATGCTACTCAACAATGAGTATGATGAGCCAGAGGAATTAGAAGAGGAGATGACGTCATGCAGCAGACCACTATTTTTCTGGCAGGTAATGTCCACTCACCTCATGCATCTTCTTCACCTTGTAAAAACCCATCTCTAAATGCTTTTGAAAAGCTTCATCCAGTGGAGAGAGTTGTGACATGAGCTGCACCTGCTCTCACTGACACAAGTAGCTCAGCTTCTGTCATTGCTACCATCACATCCACCTCCACCACCATCAACATAACCAGTACAGGGCCACCATCAGAAATTTTGGGGCCCATGACAAAGCACAAGGTCTGTGTTAGTGTATGTAGTGTGTGTGTGTTTTGTTAGTGTATGCAGTGTGTTGTGTTAGTGTATGCAGTTTGTGTGTTGTTAGTGTATGCAGTGTGTGTGTGTGTTGTGTTAGTGTATGCAGTGTGTGTGTTTTGTTAGTGTATGCAGTGTGTGTGTTGTATGCAGTGTGTGTGTTGTGTTAGTGTATGCAGTGTGTGTGTTGTGTTAGTGTATGCAGTGTGTGTTGTGTTAGTGTATGCAGTGTGTTTGTGTTGTGTTAATGTATGCAGTGTGTGTTGTGTAAATGTGTGATCTGGGGGGGTAGGGGGAGGAAGGGTCATTTTAACATAAATTTTGTATTAATTTAATTAAATGTTTATCCACCCTCCCTGCTTACCTGTGTCCAGGGACGGGGGAGATTCCATCCGTGGTGGTCCAGTGGGGGGGTCCCCGGCTCCCTGTTACCGCAGAGGGGGCCCAGGCAGCACACAGCTTCTCCTCTCTTCTAATAACTCTCGCGAGACCCGGTTACCATGGCAACGCTCCGTGGGTCTTGTGAGAGTTATTAGAAGAGAGGAGAAGCTGTGTGCTGCCTGGGCCCCATCTGCGGTAACAGGGAGCTGGGGGCCCGCGGCTGCACACATAGATCGCGATATTCGCTATCTGTGTGCAGAAAGGGAAAGTGGGGCCCAGGACTGCCAGAGCAGTCCGGGCCCCCCAGGGCCGCTGGGCCCGTGACAACAGTCACGGTTGTCACCCCCTGATGGTGGCCCTGAACCAGTAGCAGCACCGTCAACATTTCCATTAGGATTAATCATCAACCAAGAGGTAGTGTACAGACTAGTGTTGCAACATTTTCTACTGTCACTGATTCAAACCCACCTGTGTCTTCAGAAGACGAAATGTGAAGGATTGCGGCTAAAGTATTGCAGCAAAGCAAGGTTTGGGATCAATGTGAATGTCTTCAGCAAGGACAATTTGCCAATGCAAATTGTGTGGTAAGTATCTGAGGAGAGGGAGAGTGATTGGTTATCTTACTAGGGCTGGGAACAACCAACATATGTAAAGACACCACAAGTTTGTATTACTGAAAAAGAATCAGAAAGCGAAAGTATTAGGGCTGATGCAACCAGCTAGCACCAGCGGTACCTCTTCCATACTACTACCAACAGTGTTGGGCAAAGCAGAGGGAGTGGTGAGGATACTGACAGTACTTAATAGACATAGATTAGATAGGAACAGTTAGACCTCTCATCACCTGGTACATTATGAAAAAACAAAAAAGAAAATTTAAAAAATATATTTAAAATATGGTTGTGGTGCTGGTTGTTGTAATGTTTTCAAGTGCCACTCACTGTAGTGGGTTGGTTTCTGCCTGACTGAGTCTTGCTGTGTTACTACATCTTCTATATCTGCAGATGCAATTGGGTGAAGCTGCTATGCCACTGATTGTTTTTTCCCAAACTGGTGCTACTGTCTGGATGTGTGGGAAGGCTTTCTTCTTCTCCGGTTGGAGGACTGAGTGGGTTGCCATTTGCCCACTGACTTTTTTCTTTAATTGTTTTTGAAATATATATTTTTCTTAAACTTGAACTCTTGCTGTGGCTGCTCTCCTTTTTTATTAAAACACAATTGCAAAAGAAAAAACTTATCATTATACAATTTTCTCCCTTTCATTTTTTTTAATAGAGATATGATTTAATTCTGACAAGCTGACAGCTCAGAATTGGTATAGCACAAATGGCTGACATTGCTATTAGACTAGGAATTGTTTTCCTACTTTCTTGGCATGCCCAAATGTTTTCCCATGGACGACCTTTGGCCAAGCCCAGCTGTCAGATATCCCGAACAAAACTTAATTTTCTGGAAAACCTGTTTGGCCACACCAATACTTCATACATAAGTCGAAGGTAAACTGGCTGTAGTAAATGGCTTGATTATTAGCTCTTTATATAGCTGACTTGACCAGAGTTTTGTTTTGGATTTCCCTATAAAAGCCAACTCAGTCAATAGATCTACATGTTACATTCAGCAATAAACCATATGTCTAATAACGGCTTCAAAATACTTGCCTGTTTGTTACTTGATGTAGTATAGGCAATCTGTTTTTTAACACTTGTAAAAGCTGAAAACCTAAAATTGTTCTTAAAGAGAAAATTCATTGGTTGTCATAGAGATTTAGAATGCCCATGAGGTTCAGGTTACTTTTCACACATTGTGTGGAAAAAAATATTTTTGTGCATACAGAGATTGGATACCCATGAGGTGTTAACTTGTGAAGTTTCTTTTCATACATTGTAAAGGAAACAACATTTTTAAAGTGAATCTGTCCTTCACAAAGTGCATGGATAGAAACTTTACCTCCAGGTTGGTAAAGGTGGAATACATTTATTGTACTGACGAGACTTCTAGAAAATGTATTGATTAAAAGGTACTTGTCACAGACAGTGTATAGACGCCAATCTGCCTTTAGCACATGGCTAAGAAGGTAGCTGTTTAGGGAACAGGAATCCTAATGAACGAAGAGCAGCCAACCTTTGTACTTAATCGATTTAAAAAAAAAAAATGTTACTCCTCTTTTCTATTATTGCATCCAACCTAAGTACCTAGTGCTCTCATCTAAGTTGGATGGAATTGGACATGATAACGAGTAAGTGTACCAGCCACAACTACAATGCAGCTGAAGAGGGAGCCTGTTACGGGTTCCAGGAGGAGTCCCAGTTTTTGTCAGAGAGACATGGGATAGGGCCTGTAGAATTATAGCACCATAACCACTACAATTAGCTGATATAAGATTATAGAATCAAACTAATTCAAAACACAGGAAATATAATTTGGAATAATGATTTTGGGATATAAAAAAAAACTAAAGAAAAATAAACTTTTTTTATTTTATTTAAGTTGAGGATTACACTCTACTGGGTGCAGATGCCAGATATTTTTTTTTAAGAAAGGTTGGTTTCTAATAATGCAAGAGGGCTGACAAAACCTCCTGTCTGCTGGTTTCTGTCTTGTTTGATAGCTCTTACACTGTGTCCTGGCCGGCAGAATTTGTTATTGAATGCTAATGATAATATTAAAGAAAATTCTAATAATGTTGCGCAGTGGGCAGTTGGTATAGTCTCAGGTTCCCTAGAAAATATGTAAGTCTATTTCAGGGTAAAATGTATTTAGAAAACCATGAATCAAGCCTCCTATAATGCATATAGCAGTGAAACATAGTATTTTATTTCTTTTTTTTTGTCTTTTGTATTAGCATTACAGAGCCCGTGGCTGTTACTCTCTTTTCCCCTCATCTTTACAATAACATATAATTCCATTCCGTCCTTCTAAAGAGACAGTCAGAGATTTTCCTGTATGTAGCCATAAGCCATAAATACAATTATTTGGCACTTAGCTTTTCATAGATCCATATTTTCAACCACACTATTGCATTGAGAGGTAGAAGTGAAATGAGAGATATGGAAGGAGGAGTGAATGAGAGGGAGGATATAACTAGTCTGTGTGTGTGATGGAGAGAAAGACAGGGGATGATGAACACGGTGAAGAAGATCAACAGAGGATGCAAAGTGTGCCTTTGCTGTAAAAAGAGAATTTGAGAGTGCTGCTCTGGGCTATCTATGCCCCTTCTATGTCGCTTTCTGATTCCAGTGCCACATTTCTTCTGAACGAGGTAACCATTTGCCTTTCTTTGCTGTCTCAATGGGAAGGTTTGGGAGAGGGAAAGTGTGTGTAGGGGGGATTCATGTAAACAAGGGGGCATTTTATCTGACAAAACAAACACCCTTTTCGGGATGTGCAGTGAGCCATATCATGCTGAGTGCTTTTTACGAAAAGCTCTTCTTTTTCTTTCAAAATAAAAGCAAAAGGAACGAGACATTAATTCATAAAGCCGCGGGGAAATCTAAGCAACGCATAGAAAGGGAAATGCAATTAAAACCTGTAAGGATCACTAAGACAATACATGGTGAATTAACTGTATTATGTTGATGACAATGACAGAACGCAAAATAAAATAAAAAAATACATTAAAAAAAAAGGCAGGAAATGTTATTAAAAGATAATGGGTAAAAAATCGATTTGAAGGGCATTCGAATCGAAGCCTTAAATGTTGTTAACATTTTTATGACGGAGGGCTGTGACATATATTGCTCATCTTGGCATCTGGCCATCAAAAGGTTAAGTCATTCACTAGCTGAGAACCAGAATCTGTGGCCCTCAGTGGATTATCTGGTTAATAATTATGTAAGAAGTAAAAAAAAAAAAAAAATATGAGTGAAAGCTTGACTTAAATGTACACGAGCAAAACAAAAAAAAAATTCAAAAAAATTAAATGTATTCAAATGCTATATTTTTTTAGGTGGATAACAAATGAAATTCATCTTTAAAAAAAAAAACACCCAGCACTGATGAAAAGGCGATAATGAGGAAATTGAGAGAGGCAGTGATGAAAAACAAATGAACATAATTTAGCCAGAGTACAAGATTGATAACAAGCCATAGCAGAATATTATTATCCTGACTGGCGCTGGCTGTGGTAGAGCTGGCTTTCGAAGGACTGAATCGGCTCTCTTGTTAAATTATTTCTGTTGCTACCTTAACCATTTCGTTAACTCCATTTCTGGCATTTTAGAGCACCTAATTGACCAATTCTAAAACAGCATTGCTGAATTGTGTACAAACCCATCATTTTGTTCATCAGTGTGCTGTGAATTGTTATCACTAAAACAGTATGCTTAGTCCAATTATTATTATTTTTTTTGCTCTTTATAGGATTTTTAGGAGATAATATTAAGGCCATTATGAGGGGAAAAAAGGGAAATGTGCTTTTCTTTTTAACATATGTCACTACCACACGATTTTATTTTGACAATTTTTTCCTATAGCTCTTTGAAATATTGCAACAAGTATTTTAGCTTATGATCTGTTGATGAGCAATGTAATTGGGGTCCCCAGGCCACTCCAGGTACAGACTATACTATAAATACCATAGTTTTTTACATCTTAGTTAGTCTGCTTGTATAAACAAAAGATTTTAGGTGGTTGCTTTTTTTATTTTATTTTTTTTCCGATTTTAGGTGGTTGCTTTTATTATTAAATTTTTTTTCCTTATATGCCCAGTTCCCTGAATGGGTAACATGTATTTTAATAAGCTACATTAAAACCTACATTTTAAGTAAAAGGAACCTGTCATGTTTAAAATGTGGTCCTTTTATATGTTCGTAGTTCAGTTAAAGTTTATTGCTTTGGTGATCTTTAATTTCATAGAACGTATATTGTGTCGGAATGTTTGGTACCTCGTTATACATGACTGTGTGATATGTTCTTGCTTTATCACTGGTGATCAATTTACATAACCATCTTATCACTATATGACACCAATCCCAATTCTATGTACACACAATTATTGCTTGCTCGGAATAAATGACTTTTACTCATGTAAACTCAGGATACTAATAAATCATCACCTAGGTGTTGAAATAAGCTCCCTGTGCTGCTATTAGGAATTGAAAACAGTTGGAGTAGTGAATGTAAGGTTAAAGGTTATACATTGAGACATTGTTTCCAAACAATGTGTAGGGAATTAGGGAATGTTATAGTGTTTGAAAAACGTCACTCATGCCCCTTCCCTAAAAAAAACCTGTCAATACAACAAAAACGGTTTGTTGAAGTCGAGTGAAATCGATTAACATTTGAAAAACACCACACAACTTCAGCAGTAATAAACAATGTCATATTGCGATATAATTGCTGATGAGATATACGAAAAGAGAAAAAAGATATCTGATTTAGTATTATTTTACATAAAACTTTAAGCATCGTACAGTGACCCACTGTGTTTTTCAAGTAACTGCTACCTTTTTAATTTAATTTTATATTTAAAAGTACACCTTTATTTGCTTCACAACTCTGCTTACGACTTCAGAAATTCCATCTTTTATCAAATTATGTCTCTTGATTTTTTGCATGGTCTGCCCCAGATCTCTGGAATTGACAGTTCCACAATCTTTTAGTTGCTCCCCCCAACCCCACCTCACCATTTTCAAACACTCCCTCAAAACGAATTACTTTAAAGAGTATTTAAACAACTCACTGTACTAATGTCAACTCTCTTACTTTGGTAATATTTACTATCTACTCAGCTAATTTGTTGTATGTGACCAGTCATCTTCACATGCTCATATCTACATTGTGCTTGACCTGTATACGGTGAGTGTCTAAGCTTTGTTTATTTGTTGATCGCTAAGCATCATTTGTTGTCTCTCTACATAAAAAAATAATGGCTAGTAATATTGTGTCAGAGAATTGTCTAGTAATCAACTAGTGCACAGTAGTATACATGTGTGCCATACAAATAGTTCCATGGACACATTGATTTCAGGGCTCTTGGGTCCTTAAAGGTGTTTTTTTATATGTGTCTGAAATACAATTGGAATTCCTATCTGGCAATTCATTAAAGCTAATGTCACTTTGGTTAGAAGTATGTATATCTGTTTAGTAAGGATTCAAATAAATAGTGATATTTATAAGTTGCCGATAAAGGAATTTGTGCCTGGAATAAAGGTTTGCTGTGGTACAAGTCAGCTTGGGAACCACGTGTCTAAATATCATGTGAGCTGATAAAAATCTTATCTTTAAAATCCAATTCATTATTAAAGCCTTTTTAATTCATGGCATACTTTGTGGGTGCTCTGTGAATTATTTAATCACAAAATGACATTGCATAAGTGGATACCTACATTTGAACAGCCATTATAAAACATAATTCATTATTTACAAACCATACAGAAATGTCCTCAGTTTTGAGAAGGAAATAGAAAATAAAATGTCATTTAATTTGCAGTGTAAACAGCGTGAAATATGTTAAAAAATCAAGAATACGTCCATTTTCATACTCAACGATAAGGAGTATTATGCAGGGTTAGTTCTGAACTAGTAGAAAACAGTAAACCATTTTCTGTGCTAGGTCTAAAGTCAAGTTGAAACCTTGAGCCATGTTCCTACTGCTGTCATTAGGGGATGTTGGGCTAGTTTTCATACTTGCTGCAAACTAGTAATTGATTTAACTTAAATTTGAGAAACTAAAGGCAACTAGCTTAGATGATCACAGATGATGCATGTAAGCATACATCATCTGGAGTCGCTATGGCACTAAATTAACCTTTTTCTTGATGTTTCAACTATCGGCAAAATGACTAATGCCAAATGAAGGTTGGAATCATTGGAGATGGACTTTTGTTGCATGCAGACATTAAACACAATTGTTAATATTTTTTAGCCCTAAATATATACTGGCTGTTGGCATTTCTAGACGTGCAAAAATTAGTTTTGTCCATAAACGAAATCAAAATGTATTTGATCTACATCCAAGCTAATCGATTCGTCCAGGAAATAATTTATTTCATGGGTGAATTCATTCACTGGGGTATGGATTAAAGACATTTTTATTTGGATAAAATGATTTGTTTATGGACAATACACATTTTTGCTCATGCCTTGCTTGTAGTGCTTAACGGCACTAAATAAGGAGAGTTTAAAGTACATAAATGCATGAATAAAAATAAAAGTTTAATTCAAAAGTGCATAGGGTGAACATCTAGATCTCAGCAGAATGCGTTTTACGCAGTCATCATTCATAGGCACCAATGGGATGGAAAGTTACTCAAAAATGAGTGAATTTATTGGTTTTACAGAGAGCCATTTCCAAGAGTCAGGTAATAAGACCTGCTTAGGAACTTCCAGCTCTCCAATCATAGAAGTGGAGACGGCGAGCAGTGCCCAGTGGACCACCGTTGAAATCACTTGAGTGAAGGTGACTGAGGTGTTTGAAAAATGGGCCACTGCATTCTACTTTGCCCCCCGGCTAAAAGCTGCCCTGCTGGAGAGAATAATAGGAGCCGATAAACGTTACTTGCTGACTCGTTTTGATGCTAGGCCTTACATTTTACTGGCTGCTGCTTTTTTTTTTTTTTAAATGTAAAAACAAATAACAATTACATACTCTTGGGAACTTACATGTTATGTAGATATCATTACAATTAAACACTAAAGCAAACCTGAACGCATATCAGCCATCAATAAAAAGAAAGCAAAAGTCCAGAGGTATGAGTTCAAAAACTGAATGTGTAAGTAAATTTCAAGTGTCCTTCAAATGAACATTTGACGTAACAGAAATTAATCTCAAAATTTAGAGGGGACTAGAAGGGGAAAGTCAATGCTTTTGAAATTGTGTATTTACTTATATATTATATTTATTTATATGTTACTTATACTTAGCAAAAATGCATTTGTTAGGTGTAAAAATAGAAATTAATCTAGAACTCTACACCTCTTTATCCCACAACTTGGCGTCTCCATTTTAGCTCCCTCTGAGTCATTGTTATAAACTTTGTCCTTTGTACTTGGCAAACAGCATACAGAGAATGGGAGAATAATACAATGAATTTTTTTCTAATCTTAATTTTTGCAACATTTGCCCTGGTTTTGCCTTGTCTGAAATGGATTATGAGAACTGGAATAAGTGAAACAAATGTGGAGGTAAGGGAGACATGAGCGGAGTTACAGGCGAAGAGTGGCAAAAGTGGGGTAAGGGACATAGAAAGAAGGGTAAGACGCAAAAGGGGATAAATAGTTGAAAAAGAGTGGCTAAGAGGGACAGACCTGGAATACAATACACAAAAAAAAGAAAAGAGACACAAAAGGAGGGTAATAAACACAAAATGGGGGTAAAAGGGATAAGGAAGGGTAAGAGACATAAATGGGTATGGCTGGTTATGAGACACATGCAAGGGGAAAAGAGATTAGG